ACTGTGGCAAGAAAGGTTGTAAAATGAGGTAAACTCAACAACTGTCTTGTTTAGCAACAGATATTTTGGGCTCAATTGTGGTTATCCCATGAGGTCTACCTGTACTTGTATGATATGCTGCTCATTCCCTTTTTCCAGTTCCAGTAACTTTATTCAACATTCCATCGATCCATAAAATAATCTTTTTACATTCACTGTGAATAATGGGAATTAATAACAATACTAAACCTTTTTTATAAGACATTCCCAGGAGATGCAGATGCATCACTGTTTTAAAACTTTATCCACATTAAGTGAAATTAATTACTATTCTCTTGCACAGCAAATGAAGAGTAATAACAACCTGCCTAGTAGCTAGCTAGCATCAACTGTCAAGCCCTCGTTTTCAAGTCTTGGAAGGACATCTGTCCTTAACTATATCCAGCTGGGATCACATTTCAATGACCAACATGGACAGATTACTGAACCTCTAAAACCTTGCCATCACTGTAATTGATGTTTAAACTATTTGAAGTTTCTCATTAAGTCTGTTTTACAAATTAGGTGCAGATGTTAAAAAAAACACTTAAATGTACAGTACCAGGGGAAATTAGGTCACCTAAAAGCTCAGGATAAAATGTCTCTCTTAAATGTTTAACTACAATTGGTAGCCTATATTTTATAAAGCAGGCTTGGGCTGTCCCAAGTGTCTCAGAGTTTTTTCACTTGCTTTTTATTGTGTAAGAGACTTCAGAGTGATCAGTCATTTCACCAAGAAGACAGACACTTACTTATTTGTATAACAACCAACAACCTGGGGATACAGATGTCGTGTCTGCTTATGTACTTACATCCCAGCATCTGACACAAATCACAGGTTTCACTCCATGATGTCATAACCATACTTCATCACTTGTTTCTAATTTCCCTCCCCCACCAATCATTATACGAATTATTCAAATAATGAATTTCAGAATCAGACTTAATGAGAATCACTTAAAAATCACACATTATCTGCTTATCAGAATACAGATAGTTCTCGCTTAATGACCACAACTGAGATTGGAAAATCTGTCACTAAACAACACAGTCATTAAGCAAAAAACATGTAACTGTGCTGGACTTCCATCAGTTCCACTGTGGTCATTAAGTAAGACATCATGGGATTGCAACTGTCAGCTTTCCCTTTGACTTTTGTTTTCAGAAGCCAGCTGTGAAGCTTGCAAAATGCAATCAGGAGTCCACAGGACATTGTGAAGGTTTTAAATGTGAGGATCACTAAAACTACTTTTGCAGCATGGTCGTAATGTTGAATGGTTGTTAAAGAGGGCAGTCCTTAACCAAAGGCTACCTGTAGCTGGTCTAGTGGTTAAGGTACCGGGAAAGTTATTTATTTACTTATTAAATTAAATTTATATGGTCTAGTAGTCCCACCTTAGGCATGAAAGCCAACTCAGCTCAGCTGACCTCACAGGGTTATTGCTGAGGGGAAAATAGGAGGAAGGAATGTTAGATATGTTTACTGCCTTGAGTTGTTTATAAAAATAATAAATACATAAATAAATTCTAAATTTGCAACAAAAGAACTTCACTATCTTCAATCTCAAGGAAAGCCTTTCACAGAGAAAAGATTTTTCTAGGGTTAAAATGCAACTAGTTTTTCATCAACCCTCAACTATCAAATTATCCAGCATAAAAATCCTCAGAACTTTAGTGGGCTAAGAATGCTCTGTTTGTAATACTTAAATTAGCACATCCAACACTGCAAGCCATAGGAGAACACGCTCATCCTCTTCCAGGTAAGCCAGGAACTGGAGCACCCACCTCATAACTTTTACAGTATAATTTTATAATTATACTGTCTTCCCATTCCTGTTACTTTCCAATATGATATCACAGGATAACAATCAACAATCTATCTTCTAGCATTCAGCGCAAATTGCAGAAACTGATTGTAGTTTCTGATTTTATGTTCAAGCCAGTCCCAATTCATTAACACACAAGATACTTAAACTGACAATTGAGTTCATTCTGTAAAACCAATTTTCTTAAGACTGAATTTGGTTTGTACTAATGATTGGGTGATGCCAAAATCCAATTAGCAACTAAGTATCATTATCAGCAAATATAAGCATTTTAATTAAAAGTTTAAGCAAAGCAATATGAATAATACAAAAGCAAAACGCTCAAAAACATTTGACACAGTAACAGCAACTTAGATGAAAACTTCAAAAACCTCAAATCTTATATAAACAACATTTTACTCAAATAACTTTTGGTGTATTAAGATTCTATTTTTCCAATTAAAACAATTTTTTTCAATTAATTTTCCAATTAAAACAGAAAACACAAAAAAGAGATTACTCAATTTCCATACTTAAAAATAATTGGCAATATTTTTAAAGATACAATATTATTGGTCATTTATATTTTAGATTTGTTAAAAATTGTGTTTGCTAAAATATTGCAAGACAAGAATTCCCCCCCCCCCCCACTCTGTTTAACTGGTCATAATATATTTCAGCATTCATTACATTAGCTCCATCTAGTGTTCAGAAAAAGCAACCCATGGATAAGAGGCACTCAATATAAAAAGTTTCTTTCAGTCAGTTTATTAATTAAGGTAACGAGATACTTGGCTAAAGTTGAAATCTTTTTTGTCCCCACCATTTATTTTTGTTTATAACACAAATTATGAAATGAAGTCTGTCAAAAGCACTTATTTCCAACTGCAAAGACCGGCCTGGTTGGACCTTAGGCAAAATGTCTCCATTGAAAAAAGGCTGACGTCAGGTGTCACATCAGCAAATCTGTGTAAAATAGCTCAGCACTGGCAGATTCCAAGGCAGCTGGACTCTCCACTCTAGTGTTTCTCAGCTTTGGCAACTTTAAACGGTATGGACTTCAACATCCAGAATTCCCCAACCAGCACGCTCATACTAAGAACCCATGATATAGGACAGGGCTGTCAAACTCGTGGCCCATGGGCCAGATATATCACACACTGGCCACGCCCATGCCCGGTTTAGGAAAGGGGGGGAAAGTCCAGAAATGTCACATGATGCCACCATGACGATGCCAGTTTGACAGCCCTGATATAGGATATTGACTGCCTTAATTTAAATGAAGGACATTCGTAGAAGAAAAAAAATCTCTCTTTCTCACATTAATACACCAGGATGGACAGAGGGGTGTAAATGCCACTACTTAGCCTGTCGAAACTCCTATCTCCGTGGTGGCGAACCTATGGCATTCGTACCGGAAGTGGCACACAGGGCCATTACTGCCGGCATGCAAGCCCTCGCCCAGAGTAGATGTACTACGCATGCACGAGACCACCAGCTGATTGATGGGTATCTGGCACGCATATGCGGGGGGCGTGGCACGTGGAGACATGCGCGCATGCACAGAAATGTGCAGTGCGCAGTGGGGGTCATGCACTCATGTAGACGTGTGCTGTGAGCGGGGGCACGCACACATGCGCAGAAATGCACAGCGCGTGGGCAGGTCGCGCACGGGGACGTGGGGGTCCTCACGCACATTGCCTTATGGGTGATGGCACGTGAGTACGCATGCAATTATCGACACAGAAGGCCAAAAAGGTTAGCCACCACTGTCCTATCTCATTGAGAAAGCCACTGGTTTTTATTTATTTATTTATTTGGTTTGTCAATTGCTTACAAGATAATAGGTATAAGTAAAAACATAGTTATGAATACAATCCTGTTTCTCTATTCCCTAGATCAAATTCCCTGCCATTTATGCCCAGCTGCTCTTTGCTTTTAAATGTTTTAACAATTGTAAATTGCCCAGAGTCATTGGGACTCAAGTGGCATGTACTTTTATTACTATTATTAATCCTCTGATCTGTATCACAGTGTGGAGTTCTGAATTCATGGCCTCACTTCTAAGTAAGTTCTCTTGTCGTTCTTTATACCACCTTCCTCAAGATAAGACCATGCTGTCTTTGTCCAAAGATTATGGGATCTATAATCCCAAGAATTGCAGAGACAGAATAGTAGAGTGGTTAAGTACTGGGTGTAAAGAACCTGGGAGAGCATGAGTTCCAGTCCTGCTTTAGGCACTAAGCCACATATGGACCGGTCAATCTGTCTCAAGCCCTATGAAGGAGACAATGGCAAACCACTTCCAGAAAACCTTGCCAAGAAAACTGCAGGGACTTTTTTAGGAAGTTGCCAGGAGTCAGTACTAACTCCAAGGCACTATTAAAAAATATTTTTAAAACAATCCCAAGAAAACTAAAGGGATCAATTCACCATCTTTAAATAATCTCCACACAATGATGATAACACAAAATGCCCCCACTAGTTGAACTCAGTTCCTGGTGATTCAAGGATTTGCAGCATGAAGGGACTGTTGTCCACCTTGTTTTCTTGGCAGCGGTATGGAAGTCATCCACCACCATCTTCTTCTTCTTCCAGGAGGATTCAGTTTGACTTTCCAATCTAATCTGTAAAAGCCACGGGCTTCCAGATGGAAGGACACCACCAGGATGGATGCTGCTCAGCTATTGCAAAATCAGTCATCAAGGTTGGCTCAGTAGAACATAAATGACCTTTCTCATGGCTTTCTCAGCTTCAGCCCCTTGAAGTTGGATGGACTTCAGCTCCCATGCTGGCTCTGGGGAATTGTGAGAGCCGAAATCCACCCAGCTTAAGGGCCTTGTGCACTGCCACAGTTTAAAGCAGGGGTCTCCAACCTTGGCAACCTTAAACCTGGAGGACTTCAACTCCCAGAATTCCCCAGCCAGCAAAGCTGGGAGTTGAAGTCCTCCAGCCTTAAGGTTGCCAAGGTTGGAGACCCCTGCTTTAAAGGAGTAGCAAAACTATCCCGAGCAGCTCCACGCTCCGCAACATCAGGAATCAGCTGCCTTGGAGACGGTTTTAAGAAGTGGCAACGGAAAGGGGGAGGGGGGAGACAACGGCGAAGAAAGCCCTCCACCACCCATGCCGTTCTCTCGGAGAGCGCACGCGCAATCCCCTCTCCATCGCGACACTCACACTCCCCTCCTGCTCGCTTTCGAACCGGCCACCAGGAGCCGCCGTAGTCCTATCCCCGCAGACGCCATCATGCCTGTCCTTCGCCCCGCCCCCGCCCTCTCCCTCTCCTATTGGTTGGAAAAGTTCTGCCGCCTCCTTGTCAGACACGCAGGCGCGGAAAATCCCGCCCCTTTTGTTTGCCCCGCCCCTTTAAAGGAACTAAGGATTGGAGACGTGATGCGGAAGCTCGTCTGCACGTGAATCTTCCGAGCCAGAAATCCGAAGAACAGCGGAGAGCCTTATCTGGGCGGCTCGCTTAGTGACACGGCCGTAACTAAAGAAAATTTGCTCCGAATAAACTTGCAACAGCGTGCATTGCGGAAGAGTGCACGGGAGAATAAGAATTGCGGGCAAGTTTTTAATAGAAACCATGGCGGTCAACGAAGGTTATTCCGTGATAAAGATGCACGGCAATGCCCGAGGTTTCCTCCTAAGGACTTAACGTATGCGGGAGTAACTGCCAAAAATGCATTCGCGAAAGGCGTGAAAAAAGCGAGAACTAAGCCATGGGTATTTGCGGAAACGCTGTTTTTTTTTTTTTAAATTCAAAGGTGCAAAAAAAAAAAAAAAAGAAAAACATCAAAAGGAGCTCCGTTTCTGATAATTACTAATCATTTAATATTTTGCAAAGTTAGAGGGCCTGGCTGGGGCGGTGACTTAAGAGTGAAAATTTAAAAAGATTATTTTCTCTTTGTTTTTGTTTGTCCCATTAAAGTTAAATCCTTCCCCACATCTGAAGGAAACCGGTAAAGATAGCACAGGGATAACAGATAATCAGACTTAAAAGATAATCAGAGTTGGAAGTGACCTTGTAGGTCATCTAGTCCAACCCCCACCCAAGCAGGAGACCCTATACCATTTCTGACAAATGGCAGTCCAATCTCTTCTTGAAAGTCTCAAGTGATGGGGCTCCCACAACTTTCATTGGTTGATTTGGTTGATTGCTCTCACTGTCAGAAAGTTTCTCCTTATTTCCAGGTTAAATCTCTCCTTGTTCAGTTTCCATCCATTATTCCTTGTCTGGCCTACAGGCGCTTTAGAAAATAGCTTGACCCCTTCCTCTCTGGGGCAGCCCCTCAAATATTGGAAGACTGCTATCATGTCTCCCCTGGTCCTTCTCTTTACTAGACTAGCCAAGTTCCTGTAGCCATTTTTGCTTTGGAAAAAAATAACCATTTAGCTAGGAATCTGCATTAATGACCTTTTTCTGTATGGTACATTTCCATGTATAGATTAGAAAACCGAATATGTACCCTCAGCCTTCCATTCTTCTGCCCGAGCATGAAAAGATTGTCCTACCATTTCTTTCCACCAATTCAATTGTGTCCCATTCTAGAGGCTGTCGGGACAAATCTCTGCAGTTTTTCTTAGCAAATTTAAAAAAAAGAAGTGGTTTGCCACTCTCCTTCCGAGAGCTGAGAGAGTGACTGGCCCTTGGTCACCTGGCTGGCTTTTTATTAAAGTGGGATTAGAACTCACAATCTCCCCGGTTTCTAGTTTGATACCTTAATCATACAGGTTGCATTTGTACAAACGTGTCTCACATTTAGTAAAATATGGTTGACTGAATAAACTCCAGTGCCTGGAGCTGTTCACTGACCACACTATGGCATTCATCCAATGCATTTAGCCCCAATTTACCAGTGTGCAAACTAGCCGTAAAGGTTACTATAATCATTATTGCAAGGCAAGTATGAAATCTCCCGTTAAATCTTAACTAAGATACTGAGTGAAGGATGGCATTCTTGTAGGCTAACAGATACGTTAAGGATTTAATTCCTAAACTTGATGGTTCAGAAATAGATGCCACTAAATTGAAAAATGTTGGCCTTGCAGAGCATCCCAGATAAGAAACACAACCAGATTAGCTAATTACCCTTACAAAGAATCTTGTAAGTCTGAAAGTTAAGTTCCCTCCCTTTTTTTACAGCCTTAGAGCCACAGTCTGTCTTTAAGCTATTCTGCCACTTAACTTCTCTTGGCAGAGACTCCCAAGGTTACTCCCACATACTATTACAATTTATAGCTAAACAAATCCACATCCTGTACAATGTCAGCACTGTCTTAAATTGATTTGTGGCCAGTTCCAGTTGGTGTTGATCGGGAAAGATCCCATCCAGTCCCTACAATGTAGGGTGCCACAGACTTTAATACTCTCTCTGCTCCCAACATCCAGAATTTTTTCTGCTGCAGTGTTGGCTTTTTGTAACATCATTCCTGCCACCCCTACAAGGGTAGACTGGCACTAACTTTCTTGGCACTTGAAGACGTGGTCTTGCTATCTTAACTGGTGATCTGGTGACAGTGGAGAGCCTGCAAATTGATTGCATGTTAGGAAAAGCAGATTTTATGGGTTTTTTTAAATAGTTCTGTTCTGATGACACTTATTTTGGTTTTGGTTTTTTGTATTGTTTTTGGCGTTAACTTTGTAAGCTGCCTTGAATGGCAGGGATAGAAATGAGCAGTTATATAAATTTAATAAATTTTCTAACGTGTCTACCAATGATAAATGGAAAGAATAATTTTTATTTCAGATCCTAAAAATGTACATTTTGTTTTTTATCAGGAACAGCATAAATTGTTTAAAGTTCCTTTAGAATAAGGTTTTCCTTCATTTCCATCTTCCTTGCCAAATGACACAATACAGGTAGTCCTGGACTTACGACTACAATTGAGCAATTTCTGTTGTTGAGACATTGAGTTTTGCCCAATTTTACCACCTACCTTGCCAGTTTTTAAGTGTGAATCACTGCAGTTAGTAATTTGGCTGCTAAGTGAATCTACTAACATTCCTTGCCAGGTTGCAAAAGGACTCCAAGACATCGCAACCATCATATGAACCAGTTGCCAAGCACCTGAATGTTGATCATGTGACATGGGGATGCTGCAGTGGTCGTTAAGTGTGAAAAATTGTAGCAAGTCACATTTTCAGTGCCATTGTAACTTAGAACGGTCGCTAAACAAACTCTTGTAAGTCAAGGACTACCTGTACAGTGTTTTTCAAGGTTTTTTTTATCCATGCCGCTCTTCCAAACTTGTTTTTCTCCTGTGGCCCATCAGTTCAGGTTCCATTACCAGATTCAGATATAAAATAGTAACTGGCTGGCAAAACAGTGTTTGCAATGTCCCAAAGATGCTTTTTTTTCCCCCAAGAGGCAACTGGACTTTCTGGTTTTTCTTCTAAGATGTTTTACTTCTCATCCAAGAAGCTTCTTCAACCAGAGCTGAAGAAGCTTCTTAGATGAGAAGCGAAATGTCTTCGAAGAAAAACCAGAAAGTCCAATTGCCTCTTGGGAAAAAAAAGCATCTTTGGGACAACCATGACCTGGATGACTGAGAATCTCCATAGACAGTATTTGCAATGCAATATACTCTTCTATAGTTTCTTGGCACGTGCTAGGGCCCATTACACGTTTCACTTGCTACCCTCTTGAAATATCCTAAAGCTGTGATGGCGAACCTGTGGCACACAGAGCCGTTTGTGTCAGCACGCGAGCTGCAGGCAAACTTACCTCACGGCACATGTGTGTGCCTCACAGCTGATTTTCGGCCGGTTTGAGGCCTTTTTCGGCCGGTATTTTCGGAAAAACAGGAAATGATGAAATGGGGCTAGATTTCAGCCTACAAAGCTTGTAGAAGCCTGCAGAAGCTTTCCTCAAGTCTTTGGGAGGCCAAAAAAGGCCTCAAACTAGCCATAAATCAGCTGTGAGGCTCTGTGCAGGTAAGGGGGCGGTGGGGTGGGTGATTGCACGCGCATGCGTAGGGGGTGGGGGGGTGCATTGCCTTTTGGGTGTTGGCACACGAGCACTTGCTGCAGTTGTTAGTAACCCTGTGGTTAAGTAAATCCGGCTTCCTCATTGACTTTGCTTGTCAGAAGGCCGCAAAAGTCGATCACATGACCCAGGGCAACTGCAACCGTTGTAAATGCGAGTCAATTGCCAAGCATGTGTATTTTGACCACGTGACCTTGGGGATGCTGCAACAGTTACAGCTGTGAAAAATAGTCATAAGTCCCTTTTTTCAATGTTGTAACTTTGAATGATCACTAAATGAACTTACAACACTAAATGTTGTAAGTCAAGGACTACCTGTAGTCAAGAGGTCTATTCTGCCAGAGGAGTCTTCTGTTTAAAATTATTCTCTGACTCCAAGGAAACCTGGCATACAAATTTGAATATATTAAAGGAAATTATTATTTAAGCCAGATAATTTATGCTAGCATTCTCAATCAAGGGTGGCTCACTTTTATAGCAGCTAAAACCACATCCAACCCTGGTATAACTGCACAAATAATTTCACTAAAAGAAGACCCAAGCTGCAATAATAACTATTTAGCAAATATTTAGATTGGCTGTTAAAAAAATTCTGAGGAATATTGACATGGCTTTTTAAATTCTTCTGTAAGGCATTCTGAATCGAACATTTGTGTAAATGGAAGTTTACAGGACCAAATTAAAAATTCAGGTTATTAACAAAAGATATTTTATTGGATTTTAATATTCACACATCAGTTTATCCTCTTTAGAAATACTAGAAAAAAAATTAGGGTCATCTGTTGAAACATGCAATTACATGGCAACAGGTATGTCTTCCAGAAAACATGCAGAGATTATTAATAGGTAAATTGCTCAGACAACTTAACACAGTAAACACGTTTCCACTGCAATTTTCAGAGATGCAAGTGGATTAATTTTAATTCATCTAACAAATTTACTTCTTTAATTGAGGCAAATAGTTCTTTAAAAAAAATCTGTAGTCCATTCTGCATAATATGTATCATTAAAATCTGCAAGGGACACAATTGGTAATACATCTTGTTTCTATTTATGCAGACCTTTTCATCATATTATCCAGTCTTTTAATTTAGTTATGTAGTGGATTAAGAGAGACACTATAGTATAATTATGAAATGTCATTTTTAAGTAGTGCATGAATATTACATTTATGTAGCATGATTTACTCAAAAAAACATAACCCAATCTACATGTTTAAAACTTATCAATATATTTCTATTTACAGGATTTTATGCGTTTATTTATAATGGGTA